CCCCCGGCAGGCCCTCGGATCCCTTAGCGCCGAGGCCAGACTGGCCCTGCCACCCCCTCCCCCGCCACCCCCTCCTCCCCCGCCGCAGAGAACCCGCAGCCCCATTCCAGCCGCTGGCCAGCTCACCTGCACCTGTTTGCGGAAGTGGCGCGGCCCCGGCACGGCCGGCGGCCAGCAGCAGCAGCAACACAAGCAGCAGCCGCAGCCCCGGCGGTCCCGGCATCTCGCCCACGGCGTGGCTCCGGGGCCGGCTCTCCGGTAGCCTTGCTTCTGTCCTACCGTTCGTCCGTCAGTCGGTCCTGCCTCCTTCCGCTGCCTCAGCGGCACCCGCGCAGGCTGCTCCGGAGCACACGTAGCTTCGACCAAATTTTAGTCCGGCTCCTGGTCCGCACCTGCCGCTCCAGCCGCAGAAACACCATCCTTCCCGCCCGCCTGTACCGCCGCCGCCGCCGCCGCCTCTCAACAGCAGCGACAGCAGCAGCCCTGCGGAGCCGCGGGCCCGGGCAGCCGCGCTCTCGCCGCCATGATGGGCTGCGTCATGTGACGTAGAACGGGGCGGGACACCGAGATAGACAGCCCGACCAGCCACTCGTCGGTCTACACCGGCCCGGGAGGCCCCGCCCCTCATTTGAAGGAGGGAGCGGTAGCCGCCGGTGCGCCCCCTGCAGACGCAGAAGTGCGTGGGCAGCAGGTAATACTGACAATTATTTTAAATTTAAGAATAAATCATAAGGAAGACCGTAAAAATCATCCCGATTTTTTCCTCAGTGTTTTAAAACCTGCAAAAAGAGGTCTGTTTTGCCTTCTGCCCTTTTTTTTTTTTTTTTTTTTATTTGTCAGAGCTGTTTTAGGCTCTTCTCCTTATGTTGACCTACACATCCTATCGGCCATCAGGGAGCTTTGGGTTCTTCATTTCAATTCAACAAAAAGAATGCTCCTCCTCGCGTCATCCACTGACTCAGCTCCTGAGCTCAACTGTTGTCCCCACTTGTCGATCTGGCAGACACGCTTCCTTTCGTCTGTCAAGACTCACCTGAAGTATGACCTCATCCACGAACTCCCGGGAGAAATGACTAGCACCTCCTAGTGACCCGCCCTGGCCCTGTACGGACTGCTGTCCTAGCCGTGTTCTGTGGTCCCCGTGACTGTAAGCTCCCTGAGGACAGCAACCGTGTCTGATTCAGTGGGGGGACCTCCTCCCCCCAGGGCATGGAGTAGGACCTGGGTGGAAGTAGTTGTTCTCTAAAGGAATGGTGCCTGGCCTTGGTCCTGTGTATCAAGAAGGAGCAGTTCCCAGGGGTGGGCTTCTCCCCACCAAGAGGTAGGTTCTGCAGAGAGGACAGAAAAAACACTTTCTAGGCACAAGTATCCTACAGGTTCAGAGTCCCGAGGGTTGGGAAAACGAGGCTTTTCTGGAGAAGTTCTTGTGGTCCAATTTGTGCATGAGAGGGGCTGATTTGAATCTTATCAGATGGGACTTTACCACCTGGCAACAGAGGAGCCTCCCTGGTTTTCCGAATTCCACAAATGTCCATCCTAAATGCCAGTCTCCTGTAATGCTAACTTAGTATTGGACGCACAGACAATGCCCAGGGAACATCTGTTGAATAATTGAGGTAAGCCAGTAAACATCTAAGGAATCAAACAGCTGGAATGTGAAACGCTGAGTTAAAACGTCCATGACTGTCTGCTGATCTCTACGTGGAATAGGGAAGGAAGGCAAAGGTCTAGGAAAAAACCACAATCACCCTGTTATGCTTCTATTAAGACGCTTCGGACTTTGAGTTCAAGGAAACCAGGGACACGCTGTGTACTGGAGGAGACTCGTGACTCTGTGCAACAACACTAATCCAATGAAGGCCTTGCCTTATAACTCTCATGGTAGTTAATAATAATTAAGGTGCACCCTAGCAATACATCAGACCACAATCCCAAAGCAGGTCTTATCTGAACACCCCAAAAGTTAAAAAATAAAAATTTAAAAAGTGTTTTTCCCTTTCACAGAACAGGGGTTAAGGTATACATTCCTCAGAAGATGTCTAAAGGAAACTGTTATCCTACCACTCACCTCATCTTTATGCCTTTGCCCAATACTTCTTTTGAAGACTTTCAGTTAGAGATTTTATTAAACAAAAACCTGTTGGCTTCATTTAGTTTCACCTAGAAGCTAGAAAACAGCCTTTACCACAAACTTGGGATTAGAGGCCTAAGATTAGAAGCAATACCTTTCAGTGTTTTTACAGTCATTCTTGCATATGCTCAGCCTTTTCCAAGTTTTTTTCCATGCAAAGCCATCACTTTGAAGACTCTCCTGGCAGTGAGAGTCCACTAGCAAGCTCTGGCTGAGGGCTGGATGCTGAAGGATATGGAATTAGTTTAATCCTGGGTAACCGGTACCATTTTTTAAAAATACAGACTTTACAGAATTAGTCCAGGAAAGTCACTAAAAAATGGATGGTGGCAGCAGCACCAACAAACAGCCACAAAAATACAAACCTGGGGGAAGGGGGATATCAGGGAAAACTGATTTCTAGAATCACCACATTATATGATTTTTAAATGTCCAGTTCTCAAAAAAGTTACAAAAATACAAAGACCCAAGAAAATATGCTTCATACACAGGATGAAAAAGCAGTCAATAAATGCCTTCCCTGAGGAGGCTAAGAAGTTGAACTTAATAAATAATTTAAATCATTATTACAAATACGTTTAAAGAATTAAAGGTTGATTGAAAGACAATAAAGAATACCTTAATTAATGGAAAGAGATCCCACATTCCTGGACCAGAAGACAATATGCAATCCTCATCAAAATTCCATCCGTATTATTTTCAGAAGTTGAGAAGTTGATCCTACGTGGAAAGATTTACATGGAAATTCAAGGGATCCAGAATAGTCAACATAATCTGCGTTGGGGAATGGGGGTTAGTGGGAGGACTCACACTTTCTGATTTCAAAATTTGCTATCAAACTGTAGTAATCAAAACAGTGTGGCACTGGCATTTATAGATCAAGCAGTAGAATTGGAAGTCTAGAAATAAGCCTTAATATCTACAATCAATTGATTTTCAACAAGAGAAGAACACAATTCAAAGGAAAAGAGTAGTGTCGCTTTTCAACAAATGGTGTGGGGACTGTGGATATCCACATGCAAAAGAATGATGGTGGACCTCTATTAATGCCATGTATAAAAGTAAGCTCAGAACCTTACTGAATCAAGAACCTAATATAAAAGCTAAAACTATGAAATGCTCACACGAAAATATAGGCATAGCTGGGCTCGGAGGCTCAGCCTGCAATCCCGCGCCTTTGGGAGGCTGAGGTGAGTGGATTGCCTGAGCCTGTGGGTTCGAGACCCGCCTGGGCAGCGAGACCTCATCTCTACAATAAAATAAAATAAAATAAAATTAGCTGGGCGGTAGCGCGCGCCTGTAATTCCAGCTACTCGGAAGGCTGAGGCGGAAGGATCACTGGAGCCCAGCAGGTCGAGGCTGCGGTGGCCAGGAGCAGCCACTGCACTCCAGTCTGGGCAACAGAGTGAGACTCCAATTCAAAAAAAAAGAAAAGAAAAGAAAATATAGGCATGAATCTTCATCACCTTGTATAAGATAATGGTTTCACAGATAAGACACTATAAACATAGTGACCAAAGAAAAATCAATAAATTTGACTTCATCCAAATTAAAAATGTTTTTTTCTTCAAAGAGCACCACAAGAAAGAAAGTAAAAGATAACCCACCAAATGGAAGAAAATATTTGCAAATTATATATCTGATAAGATACTTGTGTCCAGAATATATAAAGAGCTCTTACAACCCAGTGACGAGAAAACAAATAACCCAATTAAAAACTGGGCAAGCCGGGCTCGGTGGCTCAGCCTGTAATCCCAGCACTTTGGGAGGCTGAGGTGAGTGAATTGCCTGAACCCGCGAGTTCGAGACCCGCCTGGGCAACTTGGTGAGACCTCATCTCTACAATAAATCAAAAAATTGGCCGGGTGTGTTAGCACGCACCTGTGGTTTCAGCTACTTGGAAGGCAAGGCAGAAGGATTGCCGGAGCCCAGCAGGTCGAGGCTGCGGTGGCCGGGAGTGGCCACTGCACTCCAGTCTGGGCGACAGAGTGAGACTCCGACTCAAAAAAAAAAAACCTAGGCAAAATGGCATCATACATATTTCTTCAACAAAGGTATACAAATGGACATTAAACAAATGAAAAGATGTTCAATATCATCAGGCAGGAGGGAAATACAAATCAATTCCACTTCATATCCAATAGAATGACTGTGATTAAAAAGACAGATCCAATAAATAATAAAAAAGATAAGACACAAGTGTTAGTGGGAATGTGGAGAAATTGAAACTCTCATGCATTGCTAATGAGAATATAAAATGGTACAGCTGCTTTGGAAAACAGTCTAGCAGCTCCAGACTCTTTAAAACTCTAATCATTACTGTATTACCCAGCAGTTCCACTTCTAAGTGTATACCTAGTAGTATTTAAGACATATGTCCATCCAAAACCTTGTCCACTAATGTTCATAGCAGAATTATTCATAATAGCCAAGGTAGAAATAACCCAAATGTCCATCAACTGATGAATGGATGAGCAAAATATGGTATTTCTTTAAAATGAAATATTATTCAGCAATAAAAAGTAATGAAGTATTAATGCATGCTACAACATGAATGAACCCTGAAAACATAATGCTAAGTGAAAGAAGCCAGTCACAAAAGGCCATATATTGTATGATTCCTTTTTTACAAAATGTCTAGAATAGGCAATCCATAGACAGAAAGTAGGTTAGTGTTTGCCAGATGCTGAAGCAGAAGAGAATGGGTTAGTTGTCTAGAGCTGAAGGAATTGTAGAAAGAAATGAAAAGTAACTGCTGATAGGTGCAGGATTTCTTTTGGGTTGATGAAAATGTTGTAAAATTGATATAGCAGCAATAGTAACATATATCTGTGAATATACTATAAACTATTGAATTGTACATGTAAAAAATGTGTTCAGGCTGGGCTTGGTGGCTCATGCCTGAAATCCAAGCACTTTGGGAGTTGGAGGCAAGAGGAATGCCTGGGTTCAAGACCAGCTTGGGCAATGTGGCGAGACCTTGTCTCTATAATAAAAAAGATTAGCCAAGAGTGGTGGCACATGACTATTTCCAGCTATGTGGATGGCTGAAGCGAAAGTATTACTTAAGACCAGCAGGCTAAGTCTGTGGTGACCTTGCACGTGCCACTGCACTCCAGATTGGGTCACAGATTAAGATTCCAACTAAAAAAAAAATGAGTTAATTACTCTGCAGACAAACTACTAAAAAATAGAGAGTATTGAGAAAGAGATAACCTTCTTTTTTAAGTTGAGGTCTCACTCTGTTGCTCAGGTTGGAATGCAGTGGCATGATCGTGGCTTACCACAGCCTCAACCTCCTAGGCTTGGGAGATATTTCTACCTCAGCCTCCCAAGGATCTGGGACTACAGGCATGTACCACCATGCCCAGATAATCTTTTATTTTTATTTTTTTGTAGAGACGAGTTCTCACTATGT